ACACCAAAGCGATGGTGGACGGAACCCGATTGCCGTCTTCTGCACGAAGGAATCCTTCGTTCCACTTGGGGCGTTCCCCAAAGTAGTTTATCCCTGGAGGGGACCTGGTCCGCTGCTTCTTCCGCGGTGCTCCCGCATCTTCCCGCAACTGCGGTTTCGACGGAGGCCCCGCGCGACCCCGCGACTGCGGTTCTGACAGCGGCGAGCCTTCCGTGGGAGGCGGCCTTTTCCTCGGCCGCGAATCGGCCGAGGCGATTGTCTCGGCGGCTTTCTCCTGGGAGGCGGCCTCGTCTTCGGGTTGGGCGCCTCGGTTGGACTCGGCTGCGAGCAGCACGGCCGAGGGCGCGCTGCTCCCAGATGAGCCGCGCGCGGCACCGGGCTCGCCGGCCACCCCCGCAACTGCGGTCTCGGTGGCGGCTCCCGTCACTGCTGGTTGGTCCTGCTGCTTCGTCGGCGTCTGCGCCCGAGGCCCCCATTTTGCCGTGGGGGTCAAGTGCGCCCTGCGCAACTGCGCCTCTTCGCGCCTCCCACCAGCAGAGCTCCCACTCGCAGCGCTTATCGGCGGCGGCGGCCGATATTCGATGGCCGACCGCGAGGAGCTAGACGACTGCGGGGAGGCCTCGCGCGGCGGTCGCTCGTGTTTCCGCTACTGCGGTCCCCCGTCGGCTCCGCGACTGCGGCATCCGCGGCAGCCCCTTGCGCGCCGAGCCTTTCCCGCAGTTGCTGCTTCAGCTCGGCGAACCGCTTGTCGACCTCGGCTTTGCGAGCTGGGTCCATGGCGTGGCCGCGCGCGGCCCCCGTCCGACGGGGGAACTGCGGCCGGCTTGGGAGAGGAAGGGCAACGAGGGAGACGGCGGGGATGAGGACGAGGAAGGCGAAGAGGAGGATGGAGAGGACGCGACGGAAGAGGATGGCGCGAAGAGCTCAGACGAGGGTGAAAAGAGCAAGGGGACTGCGACGAGGATGACGGGGCAGAAACGGAGGAGGAGGAATCAACAAAGTCCGCAACTGCGGCCCTCGGGGGGGACTGCGACGAGGACGACGGGAAATGACTCGGCCAACGGAGGCGGGCTACTGCCAACGGAAGGAACTGCGACGAGGAGGAAAGGCGGAGGGAGGAGACTGCGACGAGGACGACGGGGAAGGGGATACGAGGACGACGAACAACTGCGGATCCATCTGTTTTAGTACCTGTCTCCGCAACTGCGGCCGCGCTACTTAACGTCACGAGTGCTTCAACGGAGGTGATGCGCGCCCGAAGCACCTAATTACAGCGGTCAGTCGTGGGAGCGCCGCAACTGCGGCCAAGCTGTATGAAGTCGCTTGAAGGCAGCGCCGCAACTGCGGCCGAAAGCGCGCATAGTGAGTCAAACGAGCGCGGCGTCACGCGATCGGTCCCCGCAACTGCGGTTCCATGGCTGCGCATTCCCGCAACTGCGGTGTCAAGGCTGCGCGGACCACCGCGGTTGCAGCTGCGCCCCCTTGCTCGCGTCGAACCGCCCAGGATTCGGATGGGCGTGCAGCATCTTCCAGAACGTGAACGTTCCGTGGCCATCGCTCTTGCCGAGACCTGCCCTCGGGCCCCGCACGGGATGCGAGCGCGGCTCCACCTCATACGTGTTGAACTTCGGGCTAGACCAGGATGGGTGGACGCGAATGCCCGAGCCGTCGTCGCGGATGAGGACGAAATCCCACTGGGGCAGAGGGATTCTTTGCGCCTGTCCTCTGTCCACCCCTTTTCGTGTGCCTCATGTTGTCGAGACTGCTAGGGCACGGGCGGCACTCGCAGCGGACCAACCCGCGACTGCGGTCATTGTCAGGGCCGCACACGACGCGCAGCATTGTAGGTCCATCCATCTGCGCGACCATCTCCAGCCAAGACCACGGCACTTTGACAGTGTGGTCCCAGTCCCAATCCCTGTTGTCCTGCGCCTTCCCCTTTGCGCGGTACTTTAGGATCTTCGAAATTTCCTCCGCAACTGCGGTACCTCCGAAGACGGGCGTGCGGCTGCCGAAAGGGTTTTCTCGGTCTTCGTACTCGTCTCGGAACCACTTCAAGGCCGCGTTGTGCTGCTTATAATTGCCGTTCCAGTTCGCCCTGAAGTTCTCGAAGAATTCCAACTTGAAAATTGGCAGCGGCTCATTGCGCACAATTTGAAACAGCGCAACTGCGCCTTGTTCTACGCGCCCTGGGGGAAGCAGGGGACCGCCTCCTTTGCCCGCCGCTGTTGCGGCCGCGGGCTCCGCGGCAGGAGAACCTGCCGAGGCACTCGAGCGGCCAACTTCCCATGCATTCCACCAGCCACCCTCGTCGTCCCACCAGCGGGCGCCCTCCATTCCCCAACCCTCGCATCCGTTGCCGCCCCATCCGCCGCCCTCCCATCCGCGTCTGCGGTCACTTCCGTCGCCGCCATCCTGCGCTTTTCCTCTCCATCCGCCAAGAGAATCTCCGCCGCCCCAGCCGCCACTGCGGTCACCTCCGCCGCCGTATCCGCCACTGCGGCCGCCCCACCCCCCACTTGTTCCCCAACCGCCGCCGCTGCTCTTTGAAGAATCCGCAACTGCGGCCCGTGTTTCCTCTTCCGCTTTGTCATCCCACCCTGCACGCATCTCTGCCCCGACTGCCGGCCGCGGAGGCGGGCGCGAGCCCGCCCAACCGCCGTGAAACCTACCGTCGGCGCGGGCTTGAGCCGATCGTGCATGGAGGAGGAGGATGAGGAGGAGGAGGGTGAATGTGAGGAGGATGATGCGTTCCTGGGAGGTGTGCCTTCGCGTGCAACACAAGAGCCCTGAGAATTCCTGAGGCCCCTCCAACAGCCAAGGACGCGGATGACAAGAAAGTCGAGAAGATTGGGAAACGATTGAGGATTAAGAGGCGTGCGACGAAAGGGATGATGATGACGAAGAGGAAGATCAGTGAAGGGGAGGAGCGGACAGGAATTATGGAGGAGTGATAGCAGAGGAGGAAGAGGGGGAAGGGGGAGGAGGAGGAGGAGGAGGAGGAGGGAGAGGAAAAGGGGGAGGAGGAGGAGGAGGAAGAAGGTGAGGAGGAGGAGGAGGAGGAGGAGGAGGAGGAAGAGGAGGAGGAGGAGGAGGAGGAAGAGGAGGAGGACGACGACGACGAGGAGGAGGAGGAGGAGGAGAGGGAGAAGGAGAACGGGGACAGGAGGACAAGGACGGAGAAATATAACAAATGAGGGGGAGGAGGCGGAGGAGGAGGAGGACGAGGAGGAGAAGCAGGAAGAGGAGGAGGAGAGGGGGGAGGAATAGTGCGCGTGAGACTGGGAGAACGAGGTAATTAATTAGAGAGGGAACGGGGGAGGAGGGAGGACAAGGAAGAGCATACAGCGACGAGAAGAGGAGAAGGTACAGACGAAGGCTCCTGCTGATCGCATTTCCGCATCGTTCAAAGCAGTGCCGGGGCACTGCTTTGAACGACTGGTGATGTTCAAAGCAGTTCCCCGGCACTGTGTTCCATCGTCGCCGTTATAAGGGCTATTGGATTAACTAGGATGAGTTTACCATGTCTCGGAGGCCTCGTGAGCCGCCTTGGGAACCTCTCGGCCAATCTTGAAACCCAGTTGGACCGTTCTGGGGGGCCCTCTTGGGCCATCTCGGGGCCCCTGTTGACACGTCTTGGTGCACCCCTGGGAGCGAGTCCAAGACGAGACTGGTTCGGAGCCCCTTCCGTCATCCATCTCATGAGGATGTCTCAATCGAAACGGCAGTTTTCAAACCTGACTGGACAAGAACGGGAAGCGCCCATTTGTCAACGAAGCTTGTCAGAGACGCGGCCTCTTCGATGATGTCGCAGCGACCGAGAGAACGTAGACCGACAGCGCAGCACCACGGCAAACCATGACGACAGACCATGGTAGGACGGCAGACCAAACCAACAGACCACAAGTGCACCGCAACACAAGAACGGCGGACCACCGTAGCACGGCAGACCACAGCGGCAGCCCACAGGAGCACGACGAACCAACGCCACGGACCAGAGGAGCACGGCGACAGACCACAAAAGCACTTCCAAAACGACATAGAGGCGATGTTGCGCGAACAGGTCCAATGTGCGAGATTGTTCCTAGCAAAACTGCCGTGTTCACGTTCCCAAAGGACGTCGAAGCGTTCGCTTATGTTAGTCTGCCATGTTCCTGCAACTGGGCCCGAGGATATCTGCAGCCAGAGCGTCGCTGTTAACATGAGAGGCAGCACTGCAGCTCTCTCTCTCTCTCTCTCTCTCTCTCTCTCTCTCTCTCTCTCTTTCTCTACATTTCATGTGCTTGAGAATGCCTCAAGCGAAACACCTATGTTCGAAGAGCCACTCCAGATGTACCCCTTACCGCAGTGAGGAGGAAGGCACGCATGCATCTCTCACCTCCTCCTCCTCCTCCTCCTCCGCCTCCTCCTCCTCCTCCCATTCCTCCTCCTGTCCCTCCACCCTCCTCCTTCGTCCTGCCTCCCCAGCCTGTTCTTTCACATCCTCCTCCTCCTCCTCCGTCTTCCTCCGTCTTTATCCTTCGTTCTCTCCCCTCCTCTTCTTCCACAACTTCCCCTGCTCCTCCTCCTCCTCCTCCTCCTTTTCTTCATGTGCCGTTTTCCATCTCCCCGCCCCATGTCCCGATCTCTTGGCAGAGCCATCAGCTCGTCGTCCTCGTCGTCGCACCCTCGCCACCGACATAGTCATCCTTCGAGAACGGCGGCAGTGGTCGTACTAGCAAGGCCCGCTCGATCCGATGCCAACACTGGCAATGCAACTTCCTCCAACACGGCTCCAAGAGAGCCCCTAGGGCTCTCAAGAGGCCCCCAAGAGGCCCCGAGGAGGTCGGAATTATCTCCTTCGAAGCAGAGGCGCCAGGGACCGCCGAGTCCTCTGCTCCCCCGCTCGCCCTCATCCAATTCACCCTCCGTTCGCACCTCCAGGGGCACGACGGATTCCCCAACCCGCTGTTCCTTCGTGCACTTTCCCATTTCCATGATCAGGTTGAGTCGCCTGGGCATCGTTGCTGGACGGGATGGTGGGAGCACGTGTTTGTCAGCAGCGCCATCGAGCGAGGGCGCGGGCGGGTCGATCGGGGCGCGGCCGAGCGAATTGGCTGGGATGCAGGGAGAAGGACCGAAGGCGGACACGAGGAAAAACGAGAGAAGGAGAGTGAACCGACGCGAGACGAGTCTAGCGCGCCCGGCTACCGGCGTCAAGTGTCTGGTGGGGATTGTTCAATCAGCAGGCCGCAAGCGAGAGCGCAAACGGCGAGTCGAGTCAGAGCAGGCCGCGCAAAGTCGACTTACCAAAAGCCGGCGGGGCCTCAGGCATCACCACGGCGGACAAGTTTGGTGGGGATACGCGAAGCGTCAACAAGAAGCTCTATGTCCAGGCAAGAGCGATCGTATGCTACAGAATTTGGGATCTACTCAGACCACACTCCAACACACGCTAGGTCTCGGCATTGGTTCGCCGCGCCGCGGGGCTACCGTCGGTCCTGTCTGGGAACAGACTGTGCGAGCGGTAAAGCGCGAAGCGCTTTGCATCACCCGCCAAGCCGTAGATGCGGACGACCCTGACGATCGGCGCCCACCCTGGTGTACCAACGGCGAGGCTTGTGCCGTCGGAGCTGAGGGACACAGAGCTGCCGACATTAGAGAAGCTTTCCACCTGCTGCCACGCATTGTCTGCCCAGTCGTAGATGCGGACGTACCTACTTCGTTGGCTGCGATGCTGTTGCGGGAAGGCACCAACGGCGAGGCGGGTGCCATCTGCGCTCAGTGAGACAGCCAGGCCAAATTGATCCCAAGAAGCGTCCCCGGCGACAGCGGATCCCGCCTGTACCCGCGCATCTCCTTCCCAATCAAAGACGCGGACGCGGCCGCGGATGTCGTCGTAGTAATACCCAGGGACGGCGACGCGACTGCCGTTTGCGCTGAGGGACACTGACACGCCCGTCCTCTCGTGGAGTTGTGTCCCGGTGATGTCGGACCCCACCTTCTGCCACGCACCCCCAACCCAGTCGTAGACGCGGACGCAGCCAAATCTGAAGCCTCCTGTACTGCAATAAGGTGCTCCGGCTGCGACGCGGCTGCCGTCAGCGTTGAAGGCCGGCGCGACAGCAAATCCTCCGTAGATGTAGATGTCAGCCCCCATCTGCTGCCACGTGCCTGACGCCCACCCAAAAACGCGCACCATGCCGTTCGTATCACCCATGGCAACGCGACCGCCGTCGGCGCTAAGAGAGAATTGATAGCCTCCTGCGCCTGCTGCTCCGGAGATATCGGATCCAACCTGCTGCCACGCCCCCCCTGCCGATTCATAGACGCGGGCGTTGCCCGAGGAGGTGGCAGCAGTGGCGAGGCGACTGCCGTCGGCACTGAGGGCCACAGCCATTCCAAACCCGTCACCAATAGCGTTCCCATTGAGGTCGGGCCCGACTTGCACCCACGCCCCCCCTGCCCAATCATAGACGCGGACGCGGCCAACGCCTTCAGCTGCTTCCGGTGCACCCATGGCGACGCGGCTGCCGTCGGCGCTCATGGAAACGGAGGCATGACCGACCGCAACATCTCCGTCTAAGTCGGACCCTATCTGCTGCCATGTTGCGGAAAGGATGTCGTGGGCGCGGACGGATCCCATCTGCTGCCATGATGGCTTGGCCACGTCGCGGGCGCGGGAGACAGCGCCGTGGCGATCGCTCGGGACTACGTGTCGCGCAAGCCCATGGGAAAAAAGAATTGCGATCAACGCAACAGGGGACGCCGCGTTGCCCAACATCTGCCACTACTGGGCAACGACGGACGGCCTGCAGAGCGTCAGCAGATCGCTCGCGGAGGGCGGAGTACAGTAAGCAGACTTGCTGCAATTGAGCTAGAGCCAGAGCCATGAGCATTGACAGTGGCACGTTCTGTGGCACGCCACGCCAACGCGATGTGGAATCGTGACAGGTTCCCCACACCCTGGCCCCCCCCCCACACACACACACACACAACAAAAAAAAAAGGGGCCATGTTGTGACACGTCACGCGGGCCCGATTTTGAACCGTGAAGGGTTCTCTATCCTCGGACCTAACACCAAACTCTGGATCATAGTGTGAAGGTTGCCGGGGCCGTCTCGGAGTCATCTTTGGGCTCTCGGGGCCTCTTTCGGGACTGCCGAGCCAGTTTTATCCAAGCAGGTCGTTGGGTAAGTCAGACATGGAGCAGCCGCGGAGTAGAGAAGACATCCCTGAGAATCCTTCCAGACCTCTCCAGGCTCCCTTGAATTCCTCCTGGAAGGTTTTGAGATTGTTGGGCATGTGTTGGACCTCATCCCGTGGAGGACGATGAACAGCACGCAGGACAAGGGCAACATCGGATCGTTATGCATCGGGCACCGTCTCTGAGACCCAGCGGGTATTGAGGATGTGTCCGGCGCCGCGGCGGACCCGGAACACTCCGCTCCAGATGTGTCAGATTGCTGGGGGCCAGGCCGGACAGGGCGGGCTGCTTTATGTTTTAAAAGACACCAGATCGGGACAGAATTGCGTCAGAGGACTTGGGCCACACCCGCCCAGGGCTTGTTTGTTTCATTAAGAAAACACCAGATTGGGGCAGAATTGGAACCGGGGCCAGGCCGGCCTGGAGACGTGTTGATTGTTTACCAAGACACCAGATTGGGACAGAACTGTGTCAGAGGCCCCAGGGCCAGGCCTGGCAGAGGCGAGTCGCTTTTTAACTAAGAAGACACCAGATTGAGACAAAATTGTGTCAGGGAGCTGGGCCCAAGCTGGCTGGGGAATGTGTTTTGTTTGTTTCAAAAGACACCTGATCGGACAGAACTGTGTCAGCGGGCCAAGGCCAGGCCAGGCAGGGGCGAGTTGGTGTTTGATTAAGAGGACACCAGATCGGGACATAATATTGTGTCAGGGAAGTGGGCCCAGCCCGCCCCGGGGATGTATTGTTTGTTTACAGGGGCGCCAGATCGGGACAGAATTGTGTCAGGGGGGCCAGGCCTGCCCGGGGGTGTGTTACTTGTTCAAAGAATACCAGATCGAAACAAAATTGTGTCAGGGGTTCGGGGTCAGGGCGGGCAAGGGGGGATATTGTTTGCATACACGGGCATCAGATCGGGACAGAATTGCGCCAGGGGACCGGGACCCGCCTGGGGTTGCTGTTATATCAAGACGACACCAGATCGGAACATAATTTATTGTGTCAGTGGCCAGGCCAGCCTGGGGAGGTGTTGATTGTTTAATTGAGAGAACGCCAGACCGGGACATAATTGTGTCACAGAGCCGGGGCCAGGCCGGGCAAGGGGGTTGTTGTTTGACCCAAAGGACACCAAATCGGAACAGAATTGTCAGGGGACCGGGGACAGGCTGGCCCATGGGAGTAATGTTTGTTCAAGAGGACGCCAGATCGGGACAGAAGTGCGTCAGGGGACCGGGGCCAGGATTTCCGGGGCAGGTTGTTGTTTGATCAAGAAGGCCCCAGGTCGGGGCAGAATTGTGTCAGGGGATCAGGGCCCGGATTTCCGTGGCGGCTTGGTGTTTCATTAAGAAGACACCAGATCGGGACAGAACAGGGGGCCAGGGCCAGGCCGGCCCGCGGGTGTGTTATTTGTTGATGAAGACCCCAGATCGGGACAGAATTGTGTCAGGCCGGGGCCAGGCCAGGCAGGCTGCTGTTGTTTATTCAAGAGGACCCCAGATCGGGAGAATAGTGTCAGGGGACCGGGGTTAGGCCACCGGGCCCGGGTGCCCGGGTGCCCGGGTGCCCGGCGGTGCCCGGGTGCCCGGGTGGCCGGCGAGGTGCGTGGCCGATTTCCTGCGCTCGGAGCGGCGCTACTTCCCAGCGCCGCCCTGGCGCGGCACGGCCGCGGCAACCGCGGCGAGGGCATCGAGGTTGAGGGCGCTCACTGTCTCCGCGTTCTCCATGGGCTCCAGGGCGCGCAGGAGGTCGCCCGTGGGGGGGCTGTCGCGCACGAGCACAAGCAGAACCTCCAGGCCGACGAGCAAGGGCTCCAGCCCGTCGAGCTTCGCCATGTCGTCCGCCAGCATGGCCGCCTGCGCATCTGCCTGCAATGATTCGAGGAAGCGATCAAGCTTCGCCTCGATCTTCGCAACGGCCGCCTCTGGCGACATGTCCCTCGCCGCCGCCGCGGCTGCCATGTCCCCCTCGATCATCGTCAGGCGCTGCGCCCACTCGAGCCTTCGAACGGGGGTTGCATTTCCCGAGGCAACGCGCCCTCTGCGCCGCCGCATCGGGAGCGGTGCGCGGGGATCGGGAAGACCGCGACATGAACGCGATAATCATAGCCGCGCTTGCCTTCCCGACGCGGAAACGCCCGGGCGCCCCCCCCCCGAAAATGCAACCCTCGCGCGGCAACCTGTCGGCCGGGAAAGCCGCCGCCGGCCAGCGAGACACGGTGCCCGCGAGCGCCTCCGCGCCGACCCCCGGCATCTCCACGAAACGCTTGACCGCGGCAGCGATGTCCAGCTGAATGCCCTTGAACGCACGGTATTTCGCCCTCTCCGCAGACTGCGCTGCGCTCCGCGCTTCCCCCGCTGCGAACGCCGTCGCCGCCTCGAGGTACGCGCCCACCGTCACCTCCGCCGCGGCGGCGGTCGGCGCCGGGACGGCGCGGGCCAGCGGCGCGGCCGCGGGCGCCGGCGCCTGCGCATCCCCGGCGACGCCCGCAGGAGGAGCCACCGCCGGGACCGCCAAGGCTCCGCCGCTGGCCATTGAAGCGGCACCGACCGCCGGGGCGCCCGCGGGCGCACGCGCCGGTGGCACGGCATCCGCGCCCGCGCCAACCGCCGCCAACGTCATCGCCATCGACGCGGCAACGCCGCCCGCCGTCGCCACCTGGGACGCGCCGGCGGCGCGCGTCACTTCCGCCGCCGCGGCCGCTGACGGCGGCGCCGCGCCAGCGCCGACCGCCTCCACCCCCGCCGTCGGCGATTCAGCGACGCCGCCCGCCATCGACATCTGGAAAACGCCGGCGGCGGTTGTCTCTTTCGCCATCTCTGCCTGCGCCCCGCGCTGCCCCGCATCCACGGACAGCGTGACCGCGGCGAAGTGCTCCGCGATGAATTTGTCCTCGCGCGCCTTCACCTTCGCGGCCACTCCGGTCAAGTCCGTCGCCGGGGCGCAGGCCGTGAAGACGGACCGGAACCGCTCCACCGCGCAAGCGCATAGAGCTCCAGACGGGACGAGGAACGGGTACTCCTGCACCAGATCGAGGAGCCCATCGACGTACTTGTCGGCGACCAGTCCCACTGGGCGAATCTGCACGGAATGCCACGACGTCCACCTGGAATGGTTCGTGGAATTCGTGTTCTCCCGGAACAGCAGCTTCGACGCTCCGCCCTGGTGCGAGAACCCTCCTGGGCGGCCAACGGCATTTACGCCCATGGCCTCGCCGATCAGTTGGCGCAGCACGGCGCGGAACTCCTCGAAGGTCTGCGTGTGCATCCCGAAGCACCACGCACCTGGGGCATTCGCAATGCCGCCCTCTGCCGTTTCCTGGACGACAGCAGTCGGGTTGTCCTGGTGCGACGGGCTCATGTACTCGGCCACGACGTTCTGCGGCAACCCAGCATTGAATGCTGTGGCCCACTCGGGGACGTTGGCCGCATTCTTGGAAATCAAGCCGGACATCCAACGAACTGCGTTCTTGGACTCCTTCCTGCAGACAAGCTCGTCCGCATCCGCGAGCACTCCGACGATGCCGCCATCAAATGCCAGGCCCTTTGCCTGCGCACTGACGTCGAAGAATACCTCCAGCACCATGGCCTGGACCTTCGCGTTCGCGTCCATCTTGCGGGCCTTCAGCGGGGGGCCACCGGCCGACTGGAGGAACGAGGTCATGCTGAGGAAGTCAACGCGAGTTCGCTTGCCTGAGAGAACACCTTGGTCCGAAGTGGCTGCGGGACTTCCACCTTGCCTTCTCTTTCAGATGGACAGCCTTCATCTGCAGGGCTCTTGGCGTCCACGACGGCCCCATATGCCTCCACAGTGACAGTAGGACGCCCAGAAGAGGCTCCCAATAATGCCTCCGCAGACCCAAAAGTGACCCGGCAGGCCTGCAAAATGGCGCAGCTCGCCCACGCGCATGAAAAGATATCCCCAGAATGCCTCCGAATAAATACAAATGATATAGCAGCGGTGCTGCGAAGACAGGAACGAATCCCACAGACGGGCCAAAGTAGCCCCAAGAGGCCCCTAGAAGGCCCCAAAGATCCTCCCACGAACCCGCGAAAATGGCGAGCGGCCCCAAAGAGCCCCCGATGGGAAAGACGAACTGGCATTTTGAACCTTTCCCCCCAAGATGGCCCCCAAGAAAAAGAAAAGCCTCCCGCGGGCTCCCTGAAAAGACCCCAAAAGGCTCCAAGATGGTCTCGCGATGAGGCCCCCCAAAGCGCCCCAAGACAGCCCAAGGTGACCCCAATAAGGTCGGCTGAAGAGGCTCCCAAAATGGCCTCAAGATCAGAGGCCCCCAAGAGTGCCCCAAGACAGCCCAAGGTGCCCCCAACAAGGTCGGGGACGGCCAGCACGACAACGAGTATGGACCAGGATGGACATCAAGACGGCCGACACGGCCTTCAACGTGAAGGCTGAGTGACTCTGAATGTGAGTGAGTCTGAATGTGAATGTGTCTTCGCGTGTGAGTCTGAATATGACTGAGCACACTGTTACTGTATCTGGGTGTGAGCGGTATGCGGAAGACTCAGTCAGGGAATCAGAGAATCTGAGTTGGAGTCTGAATGGGCTGTAGGGCTATAGGGCTATAGGGCTCTAGAGCTATGCGGCTATAGGGCTATAGAGCTATGCGGCTATAGGGCTATAGGGCTATACGGCTATAGGGCTCAAGGGCAAAAGGGATATTTGGCTATAG